TGGCTGAATTGACACTAGTTAATATTAATTTTATTTCCCCCTTGTTTTTTCTTTTTCATTTAATGAATTTTGGATCTCTATCTGTGAACTGTCATACTGAATATATTGTTATAGGGGGTCTTGCTGGGTACTATATTTTAATCTGTAAAATGCTCAGAAAAATGTTTGCACTAAACTGCCCAGAATAGTGCTTGTACTTACTTACTTACTTACTTACTTACTTACTTACTTACTTACTTACTTACTTACTTACTTACTTACTTACTTTACTTACTTACTTACTAACTAACTAACTAACTAACTAACTAACTAACTAACTAACTAACTAACTAACTAACTAACTAACTAACTAACTAACTAACTAACTAACTAACTAACTAACTAACTAACTAACAGTTTGGGCCATACAACAATTCCATTAGATAATGAGTGGAAATCCCATACTGTACACTGTAGAAAGACCTAGGCTCTACGGGGACTGCTAGCATGCCACAAATAAAATAGCATAAGGAACTCTGTAAACTTCACTTCCCTAAGAGTAAGAGAAGCTCTGCCATGACGACTGCAGCCAAGAACAAAAGATTTCTAAAAGTAGTTTCTGTTCATGCAAGCTTTTAGTAACTGACTGGATGCCAAGGAAGAATCTTTAATGGGGGGGTACTGTACTTTTTAAACTTCTTCTAATGCGCTTTTAAATACTGTAGTTTAAAATGTTTTTTATTCAGTGGTTGTTTTAATATGATAATATGTCTAATTGGTTTTTAAAGCTATGATTTATTGGCTTTTTAGCTGTTGTTTATTTTAAAAATATTTAATAAGCTGCTTGAGTCCCTTTATTGGGGAAAATGTGAAATATAAACAGAATGAATAAATGAATCTTTATTTGTATCAGAGCTTTGTACAATTTAAAATTATGGACATGTATGTATAAAATGTAATTTTATATAGAGAAACGTACAATTTAAAATTATGGACATGTATGAATAAAATGTAATTTTATATAGAGAAAATTAAAACAAATTGAAATGTTAAGATAATTAGACTATTTTTGACAAGATGTGGGTTGCTTCAATAGCATTGTTGTGGTCATTTGTGTCCTCAATTCCAACAGAATCTATGAATGAATGAAAAAGTACTTTCATGTCAGTAAACAAAGGAAGGAAATTTCAAACATGTGCTGATGTCTTCCTAATTGCCAAGTCACCACCGGTGACCATACACAAAGGATATCTTGAACAGACCAATCTGAAAATTATTTGTTTATTTTATTTAACTTAAATGCCGCCCACATACCCAAAGGTCTCTGTATCCTCTCTTATACATCTATACACAGTGTTTAACATTAGCTTAAGACATCACCAGATCACAATCTGGGAGCATAGCTTTGTAATAACTGGCCAACATAAATTCAGTTACATAACTGGAAATCAAAGAAGAATTTCTATTCAGCGCAGAACCTGAGCTACTTTAAACTTTTATCTGACCCCTCCCACAAGCATGCCCAGAATTGGGACTCCTCTGTACTTTTTGCCTATGCTTGAGCCAAGCTTTCAGTATGGCTGCACACAGATGTCCTTTTGTGGCAGCAAATGATCTTCCCAGGGTCTCTTTGGTATACTGCTTGTTCCTCATGATTTGATCCTACCAGTAGCACTTTCTCTGGGCCAACACTACCTTCTAGATTCCAAGCATTTTATTTGATTGCTCAAACCTGCCCAAAAAGACCTCACTCCATGTGAAGCTATTATTGTGGCTGTTTTCATCACAGTGATGCACCACAACCAAGGCAGTGAGCCAGATCATGTGGCTGAGATATCTAGAGGGACTTTCTACGTGAGCAGCTACAACACTGGGGTTGTGTCCATTTTTGAACCAGCATTCACAAAGCTACAAGGAGGACAATATACAGTGGTGCCTCGCAAGAAGGGCGCCCCGTTTAACGACGAAACCGCATTACAACGATCTTTTTGCGATCGTAATTGTGATTGCAAAACAATGGTCTGAATGTTTTTTTTCCGCTTTGCGATGATTGGTTCCCTGCTTCGGGAACCGATTCTCGCAAAACGATGATTTTAAAAACTGCTGATCGGGGGTTTCAAAATGGCCCCCCGCTGTTTTCTGGGACGGATTCCTTGCCGCACAGGCAGCGGAAATGGCCACGCTATGGAGGATCTTCGCTGGATGGTGAGTTTCAAGCCCACAGGAATGCATTAAACAGGTTTTAATGCGTTTCTATGGGCTTTTAAATTTTGCTTTACAATGTTTTTGTTCTACAGCGATTTCGCTGGAACGAATTAACATCGTAATGCGAGGCACCACTGTACAATATTTGAAGTACTATTCTGAGTTGCTGGCTTACAATGAAATTATTTGTCTGTCATGTAGCCAAGCTGAGAGCAAACAGCATTTAGCAAAGGTTTCCAATGGGTCCCAAGCATCAAAGAATAGCCAACTTGAAGAACTGATGCAAAAAGGTTCCAAGATGCATCAGTACTATTTTCACATCAGTTTAGGCAAGAAGCAAGATTTGAATTTTTTTGGCCAAGAACACATGATTTGACTTAATTTCTTGTTCTTGGCCAAATAATGATCACTAATCTCAGGAACATGCTGGATTAGCTATGAAGTTTGTCTATTGTTTTGAAGCAGGAAACCATACTTGTTTTTACTGTGGGCATGTATATATACAGTCATTCAGGTCTTCACATTGCTTACATTTAGAAAATCCTCCTTTTAGCTATCCCTAAACAGTCATCAAGATACTTCACACATACCTTTAATTCAGTGATTTGAAAAGGGCAAGTTAGGTTTGTGGAAATTAGACCAAGCTATTGTTTCCGTGTATTAATTAAATATTGAAAAGATTTTAGATACATATAGGTTATAGATTTAATATAATTGTCCCAGTGATATGGCAAAACTATTTTTTTTGGGGGGGGGGAGCCACTTAATACTGATTCATAATAAACATTCATTTTATTTTATTTTTTAAAAAAAAAACTCTTCAGTAAAACATATACCTCTCTTTCTAACATGGACATCTTGAATGGGCACTTCCCTAGAACAAACCCTGTTCTCCAAGACGGCAGTTCACTTGCTGCTAACATATGCTATTTAGGGGACTTTAAAATCACAGTGAGTGTCAAATGTTCAGCCTAGAAATCTAAATTAATCATAACAGGAAAAATTTATGAACTGACACTGTCACAAAACATCAGGCGTATTTGCTCCAATCTGTCTCCCTCTATCTGTAAAGCCAAAACCCTAAGGAGTTTGGGCTGGGAGTTTATAAACCTAAACCAAGAAAGTTAAATTTGTAGACCTCCAGCTCTTCTTGGCCTGCAACTCTTATAGGTTCCAGATAGCACAACAACTCCTCAAGGACGATGGCAGTTTCAGTTCAGCAACAGGGAAAGAACCACAACTTGCTCGCTTTTTCCTTGAACAAATGATGGTCACCACTGTTCCTATGAATTCCAACAGTTTTCTGTGTATCACAAGAATATGTGAACTGGATGTGAGAAAGAGAGCATCTTTTCAGTTGTGCCAGACTTCTGAAAACATCCTCCTAATGAAGACCTATGTAACTCCCACCACTGCACGTTTTTTTAAGCAAGCAGTGAAAACTTATACTGGTCCACTGAGCACTTAGGTCTGCTGATCTAAAAGTGGGTTTTAATGGATGTTTCTGCAACCGATGTTGATGTTTTTGATTACCTGCTGTTATATTTAATATGCTAATTTTCTGTTGAAATTTTCAGGGTTACTTTAGTTTGGTGAGATGGTGGAAATTTATTATTAGCTATTGGATAAGGAATCTAGACACAAATACTCTGAATAAATAAGCAGACAAGAAAGCTGCCGGATTGGGAGGGGGGGATTTATTTGCAGATTTCATCTTATAGTACTGGATCAAAGATAGCTCAATTCTAGGACTGCCTGATTTTTAATACAATCATATTGCTAATACCATCTCTCGCAAGCTGCTCCCTCTAAGTGCTGACTAAAACTCCCTTCATTACCATCAACACAGAAAGTGGTCATGCTGTGTGGGATAATAAGAATTGACATCATATGACAGTTTGGGGAAACTGGCTCTAATCCATCTAATAATGACCAAGCGAACAAGTGACATACTTCATGACTAGCATGGCAACCAATGCTTCATCTACAGGTTTCCTTTCTCTGGGCAGATAAAAACTAGGATCTTAAGATTAAATGTGAAGTTCATACTTTCCATCAGTACTTGCTCAGTATTTTAGTATGACTATGAAGTTTCCAACTGCTGTTTTCAGAATAATACAATGATAACAAAGCAAAGGCAAGCTGGTATTACAGACTTTTGGCTCCTTAGCAAGGAGACGCCCCCTGAGTCTCAGACAGACCCAAGAAGTACGAAAGTCCTGGAACAATTCACAAGGTGCAACAGGGGTGGCAAATAGCAGGAAATAAAAAGCACAACATGCAACACTGCTATGCTCACATTTCTGGCCTCTCCCTGCTTTCTTCCACAATGTTACCACTTTTTCTTGCAGCTAGCTTCAAAAAGAGAAAAGCAATAGCATATAGCAATAAGCCAAGGGCCCAAATGGTTTAAAGGCAAGACACTAGCTCTCATAGCATCACTGTCCCAATTTAACAATCAAATACATTCCCTTTAGCAATTCCAGAACATTAAAGGCAAGGGCAGTGATACCTTAAGGACATCCAGATCTGTTAGTTACTGTAAGTACTATATGTTACTGTAAGTACATCCAGATCAAAATTGCATTGCCCTTTTGGTCAAGCATTATCAACAGGCTTAAGCAAGTAGCATCCAATTATGTGTGATGGTTTTGTTTTAGCGGTCAGCTGTGAATCTATGCAAGATGAAGATGGTATCTAATAGCTTAAATGAGATGAAGGAAGCACAATTATTGAACAAACAATAACATAATCATCATGATAGGGTGTTAATGAAAGCAGGCACAAGCACAAGCAGAGACAGAGTGAGAGAGTACCTGGAAAGCTGTGAGTGCGCCAGTCCCTGGGTTATAGAGGCATCGAAGCGAGGGCATACTGTCCGCCAGGCTGGAGCAGCCCAGCCACAGAGACCGGGGCATAGAGCACTGCAGAGAAAGGACAACTATGAGATGGGACTGTATGAAACAGGATGGCACAGATTATAGGAAATTCTAAGGTTGGATTTAGGTTCTCTGCAAAATTATATATGACCATATGATGCTGGAGTAGCTTCCACACTCCAGCACATACTACTGACCTATCTATTTGGCGGGGGGGCAGAAAGGGAGGGGAGAGGCTAAGAGCCAACATACATACAACACCAGTGAAATACCTCTGACTTTTGATAAAGTTTTTCACAGAAGTAGTCTAGCACAAGGAATTTAATCCACAGTGCCTTTAATGGATTGAAATCACTTATTTTTTACCCAGTTAGACTATTAACTAAAACAAATCTGGCATTAGCCAGTGCAGACATCACCATCCTAATCCTTTAATCAAGAGGTAGAGAGCATCTGATCCTCCAGCTGTTTTGGACCATCTCTTAGGAACCACAACCAGCATAGCCAATTGTGATGGTTATTCTCTCAAACACCAGGAATGTAAAGCTTATCACTGTCTGGTTTACTATGTCCTCTATTCTTCTATACAAATTCACCCTATTCTTTCTGATAGCTCTTAATCATAACTAGCTATAGTCATATCTGTAACTACTTTAAACATGGGACCGATTGAACAACAAATAAAAAGCTTTTCTTTAAAAAATGATTTAGAGTTTGATTAGTAGGAAACCTCAACAGGTTAAAATCAGTGGAGGGACATTGGGGTATCTAAACAGACAGGTTGTTCTCAAATTTAGGGCTCCAAATTCCTGGATTGAAATTTCCAGAAGCCCTGACTATTGGCTATGGTGGCTAGGGCTTTCAAGATTGCAACCCCAAAGTATCTCACACTCCATGTTTAAGAACGACTGTTACAGACTCTGCAAGGCACTATCTAAATCTGTGATTTTATGGATTTAAGCAAAAGAAAATATACATTTCATGGCCTAACTGTGATTGTTTAACCATGGCTCAAAGATGCACATCAATAGTATCCACTGTATTAATTCAGTTGGTATTTTCAAGGATATTTAAGATAAAAGTTTCTGCGAATACAACGAACGTCCTATGCTACGCTTTCCCATCTACAGAATTTCACATTAAGTTAATACTTCTGCACATGGTGCAGTCAGTCGAATCATTGTGCACGGCACAATGATGGCAGAAATCCTGTTGCTTAGCATAAACTGAATTGTAACTTTCAGCCATTTTCTCTCTGATAAACAAACTACCCCTCCAATGATTCTTGGAGGCGTGCACACACGCTGTCTCGCTGAGAGTGCGCACTGAGAATTGTGGCAAGGTTCTTTTTTTACCAGCAAGAAACAAGCTGAACATTATGATTTGGCTTACTCCAAACAACATGATTTTAGCCACTGTACTCTAATATGCACTGTAACATTTTCTTCAAAAAACCCAAAGTTCTCCTTTGCCCTAGCAAGGACCAACTGAGTTAATTTATTTCTGGGGGGAGTTTTTAAGTTAAGTTCTTTGATTCTAAATGAATAAACACCTTTCTCACATACTTTTCTGGATTTCAGGATTCCAGTACAAACAAACAAACAAATAAATGCCGCATCTCACAACCCAGAATTCTGACTATCTGGACCACCATCATTTTGCTCCCAGCTAAATCTAATAATTTTTTCAGTGTATTTATGGGAAGAAGCTTTTTACTCTGTCTACTTTTTCTTTATAAAGGACAATTTGTTCTTAGCCTTCTACTGTTCTATGGTATAAAATACTGTCTGTAGAGAAGCTTATGGCTTATCTCGAAACTCCCTCCAATACGTATCTTTGGATGTTGTACCATTATTTAAAGTACAATCCATCCAAGCTGTAACTTTTCATGTTCCTTTCAAAGACCTTTTCTCTTTACTTTTATTTACTGACTGCATAACATCTATCAGTTCCACAGACATAAAATTTTTCATTTTCTCACAAATTCCTTCCCCTGCCCACCCTATTTTCAGGCAGTTGTGGAAAACATTTTACTTCTGTCTTCACATCCCAGAAATATATCTTTTTCTCTCTAACACCTCCACAAAAACATGGCTTTGTAACATCACCTGATTACCAAACTCACCTCTTCTCTGATGTCCTACTGACAATTAGATCCATTCTTATTTGTTCATCACTATGCTGTTAAAATGATTAATCTCTACCACTGTCACATAACATCCCTTGTTAAAATCCTTACAGTGCTTTCCCTTCTATTGCTAATCTGCCAACAAACTACAGTACTTGCCTTCAAAACTCCCCATGGCTTCTGTCTCTCCTTATTTCTCTAGTCTTATAACATAGCCATACTTCAAGATTTGACAAATACTCAGACATTTTCTCTATATCAATGAAAAATTGTGTCAGCACATGGGTAAACCCTATGAAAGTTTATCAACCACTGTGAGACCTGGATGAAATGCCACTAGTCCACAAAAGCTTTTGCCATAAAAAAATTTAAGATGCCTCAGTCATGACTACTTGTTGGCAATACCATACACCGTAACTAATTCTAAGTACATGAAATAAGTTCAGTATGATTCCCTTGTTTAACTGCTGACTCCTTTTCCCTGCCTTTTCTCTATGGGCTTCTATGTGTCTGTTTTGGCAATATACTGTAATTACTTTCAGGTAGGGATTTATTCCCGTATTCTCTTTAAAGCACAAAAATAATGAAAGTAGATCTGTGATCTGGATTATGAATAGATCTGTGAAGTGTGGATAAACAGATGGACATTGTCTGGCAACATGTGCATATGCCAGGCAAAATAAAAGCACTAACGCCTCTCTGATTCTTCTCAACACATTCTAAAATTGTTATGGCCTATTGTTATGTTAATCTCGCAGTATGCACTTGCTGAAATATTACTCACGCCTCTATGACTTATAACATGTACAACACAAATTTACTATTGCATGGTCACGTGATGGGAAACAGCAATCAACCTGAATGCCCTTTCACATAAACCTACCTAATACAAATCTTTCTTCCAGTCGTGCAATAGGTTTATTCACAAAAACCTGAATATGTCAAAAAGTTACGATGTTTGGATCAATCCTTGAATAATACTAAATCCTACCTATGCTATAAGACACCAATTATTTATCAGTATCACTACAATACCTCACTGTGGTCACTGATATGGAAGAACTGAACTAATTCATATTCTCACCTTTGATGTAATCACCTGGAATACCATCATGTGCTGCATTTAACAAGATTTATATTTACCTTCATTGTTATTGCTCTCTCTTCTCTTTTAAAGAAAACAACATTAATTGCCTTTAAAAGACCATATATGAACAGAAAATGTCATTGCTGTTCTTGCATTCTGCCCAAAGAAAGCAGAGGCTTTAAATTGGTACTTGTGTCTGAAAGAAGCTTATTCACAAACTCAAATAAAAGGCCTCTGGTGTTTCAATAGAAACAGAACATGAGTAAATCAGAGGAGCAACCCAACAGGACACCTTCATTTGCTGCTGAGCGCTAGGAAAACTCAATAGGCCCTGGTTGAAATGACTGGTCAAGCTGTATGTTTCAAATACTCACTATGGCACTGACACCTCCACAAATAAGGACCACATTGCTTATCACTGGAAAAGTGACTGACAGAATCTCCTTATACTGCCATCAGCTGCAGATATGTTTTAAGCCACAACATATAATGCAAACAGAAGTGAAGCCAGAGTTGTCAATCAAGAAAGAAATGTGTGATATTTCACAAAGCATCACTTGAGGGAAACTGCTTAAATAAAGGAAATAACTGATCAGTGTTGGAAACCAAGCTCTAAAAAAATGAAATTAAGAGAAAACTTAATTTCATGTCTATGGTTCACTCATTTGATGGAATACATACGGTATATAATTTCTGGCAAACAAAAAAGTAGAAAATAGAGAAATTAGGCTGTAAGCCCTATCTCCTGCAGAATGTTTTCTTATGCAGTAAAGGGGGAGCAATCTTGTGATCCCCACCCATAAACCTGTCTTTGGAGTCTTAGCAGGTTCAAAAGAAAACAGAGCAACCTCTTTTGATCTTTCTTTCTTTGCAGTTGTAGTAGAGATGAGATTGGAGGAGGGGGCATTGAACTACAGATTTCACAATTCCCAATTGTGAGTGTTCCACCTGAGGGACAGACAACCTCACAGATGCCTAAATGTGGTTCACCAGGAGAAAGGCCTCAAATGGAAGGTTTTGAAGCTAAGTTAGGCACAATGGAGAACTATGAGATTTGTAGTCCATTTCTGGAGGCATCTGATCTGGCCATGTCATACACACCCTAATTACCTCCCAGCTGGATTACTGTAACTCGCTCTACATAGAGCTGCCAATGTAAAGTGTCAGGAAACTTCAGCCAGTCCAAAACGCAGCAGCCAGATTGTTGACTGGGGCTGGCTACTAACTGGCAGCTCCACTGGCTGCCAATTAGTTTCTGGGCAAAATTCAAAGTGTTGGTTTTAACTTATAAAGCTCTAAATGGCCACCTCAAAGACTGTGTCTCCCACTATGAGTTGGCTTGGGTTAAGATCATCAGGTGAGGCCTTTCTCTAGGTCCCACCATCTTTACACATAGTTCTGATAGGGACAAGGGTGAGAGTCTCCCCTGTTGTTGCTCCCGAACTTTGGACCTCCCTTGGCAAAATTCAAAGTGTTGGTTTTAACTTATAAAGCTCTAAATGGCCACCTCAAAGACTGTGTCTCCCACTATGAGTTGGCTTGGGTTAAGATCATCAGGTGAGGCCTTTCTCTAGGTCCCACCATCTTTACACATAGTTCTGATAGGGACAAGGGTGAGAGTCTCCCCTGTTGTTGCTCCTGAACTTTGGACCTCTCTTCCTCAGGAGGCCAGACTAGCCCATCTTTGCTGTCCTTCTGAAAGGAAGCCAAGACCTTTCTCTTCAGGCAAGCTTTCCCTCAGTGGCGGCCTACATGAGTGAGCGGCCACATCATGGCTGGCTACATTAGTAACCTTTAGATGGATTGTTAAATACAGTGGTGCTTCGCTTA